GTGTATATGTGTTACGCCAGTTTCGCGTAATTTCGTGATAGAAATATGCCCGTTATAGCACACAACTACTAAAACTCGTATACTGAGCCAATTTCAGAACTACGAAGTGATTTTGGATCATAATCGCAGACTTTTTTACGAACACTTTACGAAGCATCTGGTCATGTTTGTCGTTAATTTTGATCAGGTTTCGCGGGGAAACGACTATGATGCACTAGGAGGATTCCAATCGTCTGCGGCCGTACCCACTGACCCTAGTTTTCAGAAAAATGAACTAACAAAAATACTAATGAGGAGATGTATAATTATGAATGCAGGTCCGCACCCTGATTAAAAACCTCCTGAATCGGGAAAAACACATGAAATCGCCAGTTCCGTGCTCACTGTCTGATTTTCGAGGACATTAACTTTTTGTGAACTTTAAAGACTTGAAATGGTATCCTATGATAACGCAGATATTCTAAAAAATAAGTGATATTGTCTTAGGCTGTTTTCTTTAAAGAAATTGAATGCTCGACAAATATTTTGATAGTCCGTCCTAGGTCGATTGGGAAATTCCTTTAGATATTGACCCTGCTAAAGTACTTTTTAACAGCGTTTCACAACGTTGGCGTTAGAAAATGACCTATTTGTTTTACTGAGATTTGATGAGGACGTGCTCGGCACATGAGATACGTAAGAGACCCATCAATTGAAGTCTGAAATGTTTTCTTTGTATAAACTTTGCCAAATAAAATGAAAGGGTCCGAGAGAAGTGATCTCCCGTACGTTTGGCTGAAGTGGAATGCTAGGCACGACTTCATGAACCTGTATAGACAGATTTCAATGGAAACTGATGCGATCTAGAATCAACAACGCTGAAATCGGCTGATTTCTATATAGACGACTTATTTTCGGCACAACATAATGTGAGCCCTAGGCAGTATCAAGCTGCCTGTGACAGATTTGTTTTCTTTCATGGGGGTCTTTGTGTTAAAATAATTTAAAAAATTAATTAAATTCGGTGTTAAAAAAATGTCAACAGCCTTTAATGACTGCTGATATGGGACTAAACATGGTGTAGTTCCTTTAAGTTCATAAATAACCCGAGCAAACGTTTATATTGCAAAAACCATCCAAAACGAATAGGAGGTTTAGGTGTAATGTCGTGAATAAACAAATCTCCCGATGTGGCGGTTACCATTATCCCGAGCATCAGATAAAATGTGAGTTCGACGTTTGTTACTTATATCTCTTATATATCGTATCTAATCAAGAACATCTATTTTCAATTTGTTCTGGAGGCAAGGCAGGACACATAGCTTTATACGCCGAGTATTTTGGTCACATTCCTTGAGATCCTAAGTGTGCAGTTGTACATTGCACTCTACTTCTTTCGAATATGCCGCCACTATCACTGAACAAACTTCATTTGTCATAAATAATTGGGCTCAATATGCGCAGGGCTGACGCTGATTCCTGTACCCTCTTCCCTTCTCGCACGTATCCAGTACGCCGGCGGTTAAAATAGTACTAATACGTTACAAAATTAACTGCAGATGTTGTCGTGCACATTATTATTGTGGCATGCAATTAAGTTATAAATGTAAGCATCGGGCAGCGATTTACAACAAGGTGAGAAACGCGGTGAAAAGCGACAAAAAAGGCAAATGCAACGCTTTCGGCAAGGCGCGGAGGGGAGAGTGGAGTGACGAGTTGAAGCCACCTTATGGCGGCCGCGTCACGTGATTCCACGATGGCAGCGCCCAGGCGACGGAGGGTGAAAAGGTCTCTAATATGTGTGGACTATATGAGAAGGGTCAGCAAGCTTTGGTGCTAAAGCAGGCGACCTGAATGTTGCGCCCTGCGACAATGTGTATAAATCCTCGTTGCACGTGCAGCTGCAATTTTTGCTTTTATCTGCACCTTCTCTGCCGCACAGCTGCCATTTCGTTTCCGAGGGATTCTGCAGTTGCAGATTTGCCTAGTGCCATACAAATTTGCCAAAGTTGACAATCTAAGGTGCATTTTTGAGATGAGCATATCATAGTCTTGTACGGCGGATGCAAAATGAAGAGGGGGCCTGGACTTCGTAGAGATGGACGGTCAGCCAGACCGGTGGGTGGCAAAACCACTGCCCCCCACTGCGGGCAAAGCCCTAATTGCAGGATATCAAAATGTAGCAAAATAAAAACTCTTTTTAATGATATATGGTTTAATTTCGCGTATGTGCCCCACTCGTCTCAAAACCTCATATTAAAAAAAAATATATAAGCTATTGTCGCTTTTTTTTCAGGCGTGCCGACCACAGTGTGCCGTGCGCTCTGCATCTCCACTATATTTACTTTGCCATGTATACACCTCTGCTCGTGCTTTTGTCGTCTTGTGAAGTGCAGATAAGAAAGAGTATGGTATAAAAGTTTTGGAAATACATACTTTTTATGGTTTTCGTATCATCCACGGTCGCCTTCTGCCCATGTGATTGTAGCTGCTGGGAAATCGGGCACATTGGTTTCCAAACGTGCTGCTTCGCATTGCGTGCATTTTTTACACATCTTTGACCTTGTCATTCCGTGCTTTGCTCTTGGGGCGCTCTGCTGGAAAGTAGTCTGAACGAATCCCTTTCTTCTGCATGGTGCTGTGGCCTCAGTGGGGGAATAGGGGAAGGATTGTGTTCACACCTGGCGGTGGATGCAAGTCAAGCGCACAAACTCTCATAGGGAGAGGAGCATCTATTTAGTGTGCGCATTGTTCTTTGGGGCAACTCAGTTCCGAAGGTTGCGGATATGTGCGAATCAAGGGGCTCGGCCCTTTAGGCTTGCAGTCCGAGAGGAGGGGCCTGGACGTAGTACACCATGCACCCAAAATAATATTGGAACGAGTCCAACCGGTTAGTCCCGTAGCTTGTGCCAGTTGACCCCAACTGGGAAGGATTGGACTCCCAGTGAGGACTGGCTGATCCAGCCCCAATGGGTCCCCATTGGTTCCCAGTTGGGGCCAGATGGCATTCCTACTGGTTCTTCAGCTGGGCTGCATTTATTTCTCCCCAGTGATGTGTTGATGGGAATGAGTCTGAACTAGACTCGCTTAGGCACTTACAATATTGTGTGTCCCTTCCGATGGTCACTTTGGCCACTCGACAGTGTGTGGTAGCATTTCATGATGATTACGAAGGACCACGAAAGGAACATTCATTCTCCCCTCTGCATAGAAAGCTTAGTGTTTTGCAATCAAAATGACTCTCAGCATATTGAAAGAATTTGCTCCTTCCCCTTAAATGGTTTGTTGGCTTTCTCCTCTAGCTTTACAATGGAGAAATCTTCGACCTCCTGATCAGGTAAGTGTTGCTTCTGGTTTCCTTGGGGTTTGAATTGATTGCCGTCGGACCATTTGATTGAATGCCTCGTGTCTAAGGTTCTCAACCGTTCCTTCTTTTGGATCCACCCCGGAGAGGGTTAAGTTAAAGGGATCCCTTGGTGGATCCCTAGGGAATGCATTGGGAAACGCGAGTGCTGACCATTTCACTTTTCTCTTTTGGCTTTCACTTTTGCTTCCTATTTTTCGCTCCTTCTTTCTGGCTCCCTTACGGGGTCAGTGTTGGCATTCTCCAAAGTGAAATATGTGTAGCTGCGCTAACTCGGTCCCCAAGGTGGTGAATCTTCCTTCCTACTTGGCCCAGCGCTAGTACTTGGTTCGCACTCCATTTTGTGGCACAAACGAAGGCAGACACCTGCAAGTTGAGACACTCTTCACTACTCTCCTCTCTATGCACTTCCCTTTCCACCGTTTTGCCCACAGATGGACGCCGTCAGCTCTTTCCTGTCATGTGGGTACATTATTAAAGGGGCCCTGCAACCATATTTAAGCGTCTACCTTTTTTGCGGTTTCCACGTCTCTTGGGGTTCGGGGAAGCCAGGGGGCACGGAGAGAGTAACTAAATATCAGTGCGTCATATTTTAAGCGGCGGACGACGCGGAAACCTCCTTCATCTACAGGGGTGACCCGCAGTACCGAAAGCGCGCAATATGCGACGTCTTTGGTCCTGGGCTCACTACTGTCCAGAGCTGCTAAAAGCTTCGTTTTAGTCGAAATACAAAATATAAGTGGCGCGAACTGTTTCAATTATTTATAAAAGTAGTTTTTGTTCAGTATTTTAGATCAGCAAAGAAACAGATGCAGTTTATAAAGTACGGAAACAAGAAATGACCCGTCGACATACTCGCCACCAAGCGGTGGAAAAGGCATACCAGAAAAGAGTAGTGGGATCAGGCGCCGACACGGAAAGGTCCCGGATGTACGCGGCGGCGCTGCGGTCGTAGGGACTGGATGATCCCACCGGCTACGAGCGTTAAGAATGCCTTCGGCGAGCAGCTCTGTCTGGCGGTTTGGCCATTTCGCGGTATGGCAGCGCGAAGTGGCTCCCATTCTGAACTGATCTTCACCCCGTGTTTGCTGTCGTTTGTGGCCAATGAAGTGTCATGTCGAATTAGTGTTTAATCGCGCAGCAAATACAATGAGAGCCGCTTTGGCTGCCTGCTGCATACAGCCTATCCGGAACATGCTTTAGTGGTGCCCTCTCGCGCCGTCGACACGGAGTGCAGCAGCCGTGAGCGCTTGCATGAGCTCACAACCCCTCTTCTAGTTCACGGCCACTCAAGCAACCAAGGACGTCATGAAGGAGGTTATTATTTCCTTTTTTTTGTAATCTTAATTTGCCTATAACTTTTAAAATAAAGCGAAATTCGAGAAAAGAAAAGTTTAATTAAGTTACTACTTTCAATGCGCTCAGGTTTGGTGCAAATTAAAAATTGGTAAAAAAAGTCATTGCAGGGCCCCTTTGAGGTGCTCGTACTGCACTCATCCGCATAATTGGTGCAGCTTAAATGTTGCAAAACTGTCTATCGGGTAGTTTCTTTAGGAACCAGATGGTGGTGCAGCATAAGTACGCATGATTTGAAAACTCCACGGTGTGTTCAAAATTGAGCAGTGCTGGATTTCATTCTATTCCAATCTTGACCCAGGCTGATCCATGTGTGTCCCATTTTGGATATATCCAGGGAAGCAAGTCTCGCATCAAAATCCACGAGGACGTGAAGGGCGAGATCTATTCCATAGGAGTGGCCACTAAGACCGTTCAAAATGCCGAACAGGTGAGACTTTAATTTTACGGCTCTTCCCTCCCCGGTGAGGTCCGACGTCGATGTAGCCAACCGCTAGAAGGCCGCCTGCCACGCTTGTTCGATCCTGGGTCCGCTGCGTGTGAAGTGAGCATGTTACCGCAGGGCTACGCCCAGTCGTGGGCACGTTACTCTTAGAATGGAAGTGTTAGTTACAATTACTTTGGCCAAAAAAAGGAGCCCTGTTACAGTTAGTTACTTTGCTAAAGTAATGCCGTTACTTGGACGTTACTTTACAAAAAAAGAATGAGTAAACATTCGAAAGGAACCTTCCTTAATGTTTCTTTATATTAGCATACACTCTATATAAGACATTGTGTTGTTCACGGTAGTGAATCATAAAGATTTTCTTAATAATCAATATCAACATGCTTGGTTCTTCCTATATCAATATTTACCATGAATAGCTCCTTGAACAAGATCATAATTTAAGGCAGTATCTGACTAAATCCACTATATGATAAGGAATTTATAGTCTCTTCATTGTCAAAATTGAAGGCGACTAGTGTTTAAAAATTTTAACATAGCAGATACTTGATCCGTGAAAAACTTTAGAAATAAGCGCGGCCACCATAAGGTATACACCAAAAAAAAAAATGCCACGCGTGCAGATCTTGGTTGGTGGCCTTATTTTAATTATTGTATTTCTCAACCAGAGAGATTTCTCTCGAATGTTTAGTTTCAAGTCCAGACCTTGTGGACTGGATCCAATCATGGTGTGACTTTACAATCGGCCAATTCTAATTTTTGATTTCTTTGGTGAGGCAAAATCAGATGCAATTTATAAAAATTGTGCAAATGTGAAGTCAATATTATTCTGATACCTTGCAATCATCTTTGTAGATGTTTTCTTATGCCACTCCCATCCACTCGCCAGTCAAATCGTTTTCTAATGCCTGCGCAGTAGAAAACAATCTTTCATCTTTCATGAAGCTTCCCTTGAAAACTTGGGAGCAATGTTGGGGCAAGATTTCTCCATCAGAATAAGCACTGATCGAGGTGACAACAACCACTACATGTAGAAATCCAAACAGCTGTTGCAATCTTTTCTCCGCCACTTTGTTATCAGATCAAACACGTTTATGCTCCTTCATCTCCCCATCCGAAATAGAAGAGACGACGTGAATATCTTTAAATGAACTGATGCCAAGTGCCCCTAGTCCCGGCTAAGGGCGTTCTTTCAGTTTCAAGAAAACGCACAAACAAGCAGAGCGACGCAGACGTTTCGAGCAAGTGCCCTTTCTCAAGTTACTGCACCCGAGAACGGACCACAAGTGGGTGACGGGAGTGAAGGCCGCTAATTGGGTCGTAAAAACAAGGAATGGAGAGAAAATGGGCCTAAAGTAGAGAGAGTGCCTCTGGGAGTTGGACGATTCAAATTAGAGGGGAAGGAAACGTGTGCTCGGCGGCAGGAAGACGAGGTTCGGGTGTGCCGTAAGCTTCCGGGGGGCGTTTGGGGCGACAATCCCCATAAACTGTTTCGCCACCGCACGAAGAAAAAATAAACGCTTTAGAGAGGCTTTGTTACATCTGCGTGCGCCGTGGGCGATATACCCTACATGGCTGATACGTTGCCATCCTCCAGTTGGCAGGACCAGCCTGGCCAAGCAGGGTCACCCAAAATTTAGGTTTCTTTTTTTAGGGGCAAAGCTCCTTAGGGTCTAGCCTTGTCCGTCCGCCGTCCATGCTCACATCGATTGCCATCCCATCTGTCTTAAGAAAAGAAAAAAAATGTTTGCGCAGTCGACAGGATTCGAAACTGTGCTGGGAGACCCCAATGGGATTTCTGGTCCATCGCCTTAACTACTCGGCCACGACTGCGGGACGAGTAGGGGGCTCTGAGATGTGGTAGTAACTCAAGAGCTGGGCATGTCATGGATGAAACGTTGCATGTAGCCACTCAACGTCTATACAGGAGAGGGCGCTGCTGTCAAATGCGTATATAATTGCGTTAAACTTTGCATGCATTGGCTCAACGTTTATAGACGAGAGGGCGCTGCGGTCAAATGCTCAAATGCATATATAACCACGTTTCATACCGCACATTCTCTTTCTGACATGGACCGTTGACGTAAGCAGTGGCGATGCGTTCCCACGGCTTCTAGCGGATCCAAGCTGATCCGCTAGAAGAACCACAGGCTCTGCATTTCACCGACCATAGCAGTAATAATGAAGTCTAGAAGCCACCCGGAACTCAGCACTACCTATGAGCAATAAAAACAAATCAGCACCATCAGCAATATCTATGAACAAAATCAGGATCATTAGCATCACCAGAGCTTTGCCCCAATCAACATCATTCAAAACGTGGAGATGCGGTCATCCTTTTTTTTTTTTTTTTTGTCGTATGCTTGACAGTTGCATTTTGCATACAATTTTGGGGATCAGTTGGCGACGGAGCGCAGTGGCATGGTTTCGGTTTCGATCGAACAGCCATCTCCGTTTGCGCGACGAAGCACGTGCAACTGCAAGCCTGCCGAAGTTGCCCTCATGTGCATGCGAACATGATTGCACCAGCTGGGGGACTCTTGCAGTTCATTGTCTTACGTTTGCTTACTTTTTATGAAAATCTGGCGTGTCGGGAAACAGTAAAACGGTGGCAAGAGGTCTATCGGAATTGCTCGGCAACACCTACAGCACTTTACACTTGTGGGGAGTCTCAATGTCTCTTTGCAGACATTGAAAGTGGACATTAATTACTAGACGAAGTCAAAGCGATGCTTGCAGCAGCCTTGCAGGAAGTTTCGAAAAGCAAGAAGAAAAGCACCCGCTAAGACTCGTAATGCACCTTTGTCTTGTGTACAATTTCGCTTTGCACTGCAGTAGTTAGATGTTTCATCAGTTAATGCCGCTTCCAGTTATTATATTATATAACTACACCCATTTTCACCTCAATAAAAAAAGCAGGTTTTGCGCAATGTTCTTGCGCGGCGCGAAGTAGTTCTTGCGAGATTTGGTTGTTGGAGGAAAAAGCGATGCTTTTGGCGTTTGGAACGTGTACGTCTTGATAAGATGACGTATACCTAGTCTACGATTCACCTACCTATATCTTAATTCTCTACATAAACAGGGAAATCAGTAATACACCGCGAGAACCCGGACTTTTTTTACTACGGTTCCTGAGGTGAAAACGAATATAGTCAACCTAAGGCTGCGATGTTTACTAGTAAGCAGGTCATTTTCAAATAAACTTGAATATCCGCAGTTTGGTCCTCATTTATCTATAGCGGGTACAATTTAAGTGAAGCGTTGCAAAAGGTGTCCTGTCTTTGGCATTTCAGTTACAAGTTGAAAGACCCCCAGGTGGTCTAGCTTGACCATAATTTGTTTATTGCAGCAAGCAAAGTGCCCTTCGTTTGTCCAGCACTTAAAACAAATATTCTTATTTTTCTAAAAATATCTGCTCCAAAAGCTCCTTTTGCTGCTCTGAAACACTATCTTGGCTGCTCCAAAGGTCACTTTTGCTGCTCCAAAAGACTGTTTGGGCTGCTCCGAAAGGTGCTCCAAAACAACTTGAGCCGTTGGCATCGTTGTTAGCGAGAATGGAGGTACTCTGGGTGGCCTGCTTGGATGGGCTTCGGCTGCACGAGCGTTTGCTACCCAGGGCGCTTGAAATGAATGCTGGCACACTTAGTATGCTATCGCTCGATTCGGTTTAGGGAATATGTTGCCGGTAGGAGAAGCGAATGAATGGGCCCACCGAGGTACCTGCTGGTGCGCTGCGTTTGCGCCACAATAGTTTCGTGGTGGTGCCCTTCTCCGGTCCTTGGCTCTGGCTTTTAGGTTGGGAGGGGGACCCATTTCTTGTTCTTGGTGGGACGGGGCCTTCATTCCCTGGTAGAGTCCCATGCCCTATTTTTTTCAACGTGAGCTCCGATAGATTTTTCGTCCGAAAATCGAAACCTGAAAGGACCGAATTGGTGGGAAAAAATAAAGCCGGAGAAACCACTTGGAAGAAAAGTGGGAATACTAGGCTTTAAAAGTGGTGCCCGAGTCAGAATAGCATGGGGCTCGTTTTGCTCTGCAGGTGATCAAGTGCCTCGAATCGGGGGCCCTCTCTCGCACCACGGCCAGCACGGCGATGAACGTCCAGTCGTCCCGGTCCCATGCCATCTTCACCCTGCTCCTCAAGCAGCAGCGCGTCGTCACCCTACCAGTGAGTGACCCTCCGCCAGGCATTGGAAGCTCTTGTTGCGAGTTCTTGCAACTGTATGCGAGGGATACTACACTTCCTTGGAATTTTTGTTTTTGCTTCGAAGGAGGTTAACACTTTCGGGGATTGCCTTGCTTTGCGACCACTCCGTCTAAAGCGCATAAATGCGGAGGGTGGTGTCCACAATTCCTAACGACCCTACCGGTGTTGAGTCTAGTACTGCCATATTTTCCTCAAACCCGAACAAAAGTGACGAGGGAAGGGTAATCTCTTGGCAACAAATAATCGTAAATCTCAGAAGTAGCGAAACAGAAAAAAAAAAAAAGCTTCTGCTGCTTGGCATAAAGCCAGCTAACACGGCATGCATGTTGCATTTGTGTTGACTTGCCTGTGTTGACATATTTGGACCTGGTGAGTGTATCTTCATGCAAAGTAGGGACTTAGGTCAAAAAATGATTTTTTTTTGTCGCTTCTGTCTTTTTATTGTGAGTGATGGAAACACTGCTCCATTTGTGCCAAATTGCGCCACGAATGAGTCTGCTACGTCTTGCGCTAAAGTGCCACTTTTGCTAAGAACTATGCCACACTTGCGCTGAGGTGGGCCTAAAAAAATCAAAAAGTAAACACGTAATGGTTGATTCGAACAAGTAGGACACAAAAAGTTGAGAGCACAGTCTAAAAGTGCGAGTCTAGGGGCTCGTACAGATAGACGACAAATGCCATAATGTAGCGGCGCTGTTTCAGTGGTCCTAGTCTCGTAGACTCTCTTGTACACCATACAGCAGAACAACCTGAATCTGGGATCCTGAAGTTTCTCGATTTATGCATACATGTAGAAGAGGGTCGGTGCTGGGAGTACGGGAAAAAAAGCCGCTAAATCGGTAATAGCGGGGGTTGTTAAACCCTCGACAACAAATTTGTTGCGTAAATTGTGCTTTAGGGGCAATGCAATGAGGGGACAATGGATGAGGCTAGAAGCTGCAGGATATGAAGAGGAACTCATAAAATTGAAGTTGAGAGATGGACTTCAGCACAAGGAACAAACAAGAAAAAAAAACTGTAATCCCATATTTCCACGGGATCGCTGATTGCAGAAACGTTTGGAGGAGGCGTAGTGTTCTATTGAAATTTCAAAAGGAGCAGGTGGATGGCATTTCAGTCAAACCAAAAAGGCTGCCAGAAGGCTCATCAAGACCTTCAGTTCCTAGCGTAGAGAGTGCGGAGTACGAGATATCGCTAACACGTGGTTTCAAGTACGTGGCACAAATCTCGAGATGCGTTAACGACGGGTTATTAGAACATAAGAGAAATGTAAGCACAAATGCGTCAAACTCAGAAATGGCAAAGCACATTTCGGAACGCAACGGTTTTATTGCTTACTGGTCAGAGACTCAAGTCCTACATGAAGAGCGAAATGACATAAAGAGAGTCGTTAAAGAAACAATAAGGATAAACTCTATAGGAAGCTGCATAAGCTGAGCCCCGATGCAACTTGGAAGCCACAGCAAAAAGTTCCTGAGATTGTAAGCAACACCCTAGAGTTTTTTTGTGTTATTTTTCTATAAAGAAGGAAAGATGTTTGAAGCGGCCGAATACAAAGTGCAGTAGTCGCCGTGTTCCCGAGGTCAGCCAGATGTAGGCCCTGGAACCCTCTCCCGTACTCGATGATGAGGGCATTGTATTGTGGGTGGGACCGTTGGTTTTCTTGCGAGTGTGTATGCTAAGTTAAGAACAAAACAGCGTGTTGGTAACGGTAATTAGACATGAGGAACAAATTTGTTGCGTAAATTGTGCTCTAGGGGCAATGCAATGAGGGGACAATGGATGAGGCTAGAAGCTGCAGGATATGAAGAGGAACTCATAAAATTGAAGTTGAAAGATGTATGTTCTTTGTGTTTTGAAAGAGCTTTCAACAAAGGAGATCTCTGCATAGAATGTGGTTGAGAGTGGCTGTGCGGGTAATTATAGGATCCTTTAGAAGTAAACCAGTTAGATGAGTCTGTTCCTCAGACGAAAACTTTCTTCCTTTTCTGCACCAGAGTGTTTAACGACATGATTAGCTACCACCAGCTCGCGTGAGAACTTCGCCTTTTTACTTGTAGACCCTCTTTTTTCGAAGCAAACCACGGAGTGAACATTGGAGAATTTCCAATGTTCACTCTGTGGTCTCTCCCGTAAGAGTGGTCCAGATTTGGTCGTGGAGACGGTTTGAACCTGTTCTCTCGTGCCGGTCCGGCAGTCGTTGAGGATTTTCTTTTTTCGGTGCCTATGAACTTGCACAGTCGCCAGATGGCAAAACCGTGTTGAGTCGACAAACCTGTGTCTGAGGAACGTACCGACGTACGACACCTTTGATTCCATCTGTCTGTTGTCCAAGATTCCAGAGAATGAGCGAGAAAGACTCGTGGAAAAAATGGCAAGTTTGCATTTTGTACAATATTAATGAACTGAATGTAAGTGTTCAAACCCAGCTAAAAATTTCCATTAAATCCAATTGGAATTCCAACTGGTTTTAACTGGAACCAATTGGTTGTAGTGGGTTCCAACTGAAAGCACACTGGACAATGGGTCTCACCAATTGAAATTATTTTTCCAGTTGGAACCTGAATGCGTTCCAAATGGTTCCCATTGGTTCCTGTAGGCTCCCATAAGCAGTGACCAATTGGTTGTCCAAAAACCCTTTTGGTAGCAATAAGATAATTCCAGTTGGAACTTGAGGGGAATTTTCACCTTGGAACGAGCTGGTGTACATTGACCGTGACAAAAAAAAGCCCAGACTGCAGATAAAAAAGGAGACAAGCACTGAGATTTTAATTTTTTTAAACATGTTTAGGTGAGAAAAAGAAAAGGGGAGAGATGAAGCGGCCTTTTTGCCCAACTTGCATGATGGACAGAAAAGAGGGCTTGAGACACCTGCAGGGTAGGGCCAATGTTTTTCTTTGTTGTCCTGCTGCTGGAAGGTGCGGAGGAGGAGGAGGACAGTGGAGAGGCCTTGAGCGAGTTTGAGACCCTGACGGCCAAGTTCCACTTTGTGGACCTGGCCGGATCGGAGCGGCTCAAGCGGACTGGAGCCACGGGGGTCCGTGCCAAGGAAGGAATCTCCATTAACTGCGGCCTCGTGAGTCCTCTCTCTTCTGGTGCTCAGAGCTACCATTGGACTTAACAGTTACGGGGATCAAAGGAAAGCAACATAGAGGCTGAAGACAGAATATTTTGTTTTGCCAGGCATCTCCTTGGAGCAGATAAGCAGGATGTGCTTCGTGACCCAGATGAGGGAGTGTGTCCCTCTCTGCAATGTCTTTCCATCTTGGCCCTTCCGGCTTCGGAATTCCACCGGAATAGGCCCTCTTCAAATGTCTCCTTGTGGCAGTCCCAAAAGCCCCAATATTGCCGCTCTAGTGGCGGTGATAGGAGGTCTTGCTCGGTTAAATCAAGCACCCTCGATTTCATGTATCGAAGGTGACGTAATAGGAAAAACATCTTTTCCCCTTTCTGCTTTCTGCTTTCGAAGACGCTCGCTTTTTTTGGTGTGGAGAAGCCGTGTACTGCTGCCATTAGGGCGTCGGTACAGTGCCTTAAAGGACACATGCGAAGGAAAAAACTATTTTTTAAACAGGCTACGTGGAAAAAGATTATTAAAAATGAATTTACAACGAAAACAAAAATTTAGAGCAATATTTACGGCGCAGACCGAATTTGTAGTTGGCGCCCGCGGGAGTTGCCGCTGGTCACGGGGTAGGTCTGTGCGCCGTCGCCGCAAAGTCACGTTGCCGCCGCACGTTGAGCGTTGTGCGACGCCGCTTCAACACGTTTCGTCACCTTGCCGTCACCGGCGCTGCACAAGTCCATCCCCTTCGGGCCGCAGTCATCTGACCAGTGCACAGGTCTATCAGGTCTGCTCACACTTTTTCGGGAGTTTCTTTTTGGGCTCTAAAAGTTACTTATTAATTCTAATTTTTACAGCAGAGCTGTTAAGGGCTAGGTTCCTCAGGATCGTGTCGGGTATATCGCCACAAACCTGCCTAAACAGCTACCGCCATGTATAAGTGTTGGTGGCAAGCACACAACCAGTATGGTTTCCGCCGTCGCTCGTAAATGGCGGCAACCTAGGAAACAGCACAAAAAACAGACGACGACAAAAAAGCACACGTAATGAGTGCAGCGCTCGTCACGTTTGTTTCTTTGTCTGTTTTGCACACTGTTTCCTACGCTCTTATCAGTTTCGGTTTGGACTCGCAATGGGTCGGCCGCGCGCCCTTTCGGGGGAAGGGGACAGGCTGTGGAAGGAGCGGCGACGTACGCAGCAGTGCGAATGGGTCTGCAACCGCCGCAAAGCCGCTGTTGCCTCGACTTCCACTGCGTCCAGCACTTCAGATTCTCTTGCCAAAGAGCACGTCGCTCGCCTGGAAAGCCGCTGCCGAGAACAGAACCAGCGATGCAAAGGGCGCCGACGGGCTAATGCCACGGACGACTATCGTGCCGCGGAGGCCAAGCGCAAGCGCGAGGCCCGGCGACTACTGCACTCCACGCCGGCTGAACAGTTCCCGGGGTAATGGCGAGGTTCCGGATGGAGTTTGTGGATTACCTGTTTGGCGTCACGTGCGAAGACGTTGAAAAGATGTTGGTCCTTTTACGTCACCTTCGATACGCGAAATCGAGGGTGCTTGATTTAACCGAGCAAGACCTCCTATCATAGCCATTAGAGCGGCAATATTGGGGCTTTTGGGACTGCCACAAGGTGACTTATGAAGAGGGTCTATTCCGGTGGAATTCCGAAGGCGGAAGGGCCAGGTAGCCCAAGATGGAAAGCCATTGCAAGGCGCCGTGTGCGACCGACTCGGGTTCACTGGAAACGCGTCTACGATCGGCGGCGTGTCAGACGAGAAGTGGGAATCGGGCACGTTGCGGCAGTGTATCGAGTACAGCTCCGCTGGTCTTCCTTATTTTTTTGTTATACTTCAAGCAAAGATGATGAAGTTACTTTTAAAGGCTTCTGAAAGGGTGCAAACACCACGTGACAAGTAGGGACCAGTCACGTGACAAATAGAGACCACTTTTCCGCGCCACCTGCGAATGCCAACAACAAATTCGTATCGTGCCTTAAATATAGCTCTAAAAATGTTACTTTTTTGCTGTAAATTCGTTTTATGACTTCGTTTTCCCAACCAGGTTGTTAAAAAAATTTTTCCTTTCCTTGTGTCCTTTGAAGGGCGTAGTGTAGTTACTGCGTGGCCAACACCATGCATCGAGAACGGCTGCTCCTCGGAAGACGGTGTAGGTGGCGCTTCGCAGCTCCGTTAGGGTGCCTTCATTGGCCGGCAGATGCAGGCACCCTACATCGCACGTCCAGGCCGATCTGTTTCGTCTGGTCCAGCGTCTGTCAGAGTAGTTGGCTATTACATTGAAACAAATTTTTGCGTCAGTGAACATGGCTCACCCTGATGATCACAGGTGATCGAAACAACGTCACCCGCTTTGAAAGACATGCACACAAAGCGCCCAAGCGACTTGCAACACAGTCGACAGCTGCGATTCGGCCAGAGCTGGCCGGAGCCGAGCGGCCGAACCGAGCCATAGCCGAAACGACAATGCTGCAAGTGCCAGCGCCACCCGCGGCCGTCTTCCAGCGCTGTGCCGCTTCTCTGGTTGTGTTTGTTACACTATCCCTTTAAGCCACTGTAGCGTCGGGTTTGGCTTTGCACACTGTGGGCAGACTGAATTTCGGAAAGTGTCTATTCTGAAGGTGACTCCATGCATTTTTTGCCGTCGTTTCACTCGATGTTCAAGACATGCGTTATTCGCAACTCCAACGCCCAATGTGGCCGGGCGGTAGTTCCAAGATGGCGGAAGAGACGGTGATAGATTCTCCAGGATTTCATGTGCGGCTGCCTGCTGACGCTGGTCGGTGTGCTAAAAATGATGTCGACAAATGCGATGTGGTTAGGGCAGGATCATACTACAGGGGACGGAGGTGTTGATGCGTGGTAGGAAAAGGAGCATGCTGATATTTAAAAGAAACTTCGACTTGCGAAGCTTTGTGGTGAGTGAGCGCATTTTAGGCGCCGGCACCGTCACTGTTTGTGGCAAAATATTTTTGAGGGTGATATTGTGTTTGTGCCTTGCCTGGCCTCTAGTGCTCTAAAAAGTGAGCCGCGCACGGTGGCCATCAAGTTGCGGAAGAACCACAGTATTGATATATTCGTGTCACTGGCTCGCAACTCGCTGCTCACTGTCTCGGTTTTAGTGTGTTGCAACACGTGCTCAAACTGCTCCATGGTTATGGATAGGAAGCTTGGTACCGCAGGCTAATGTGCACTGTAGCATAGCAACTGGAAGCTCGCGCTGCGCCTTTAAAGCACTATTTTTAGCGCGCGCCAGGAACGTTGCCGTGCTGACGGTAGCCAACGGTAGCCTGCGATAATGCTATGTTAAAACTGCCTATTAACATGATCGGCGTGTTTAAGGGTTTTATTTACTGCTCTATCAAAAATAAATATTTTAATATACCCTACATTTTTTGTACCATGTTACTTGCAATGTTGCAGCCCCTCTTTCCAAAACGGCCCATTCTAAGTTCTCGTCACGAACGACTGGCTGCCACAGACGCGCTTAAAATGCTTGGAGCATTTCTTTGTAATTACTTGCAAGCCAGTACCATATTTTCCGTGCTATAGTCTGCACATGGTGTATAGTCCGCAAGGGCGGATTAGGGGTCAAAAATGAAAGGTTTTGCTTAGATAGTCCGCACATGGCACTTAGTCCGCATGCGGCACATAGTCCGCATTTGGTGCCTAATCCGAACGTAAAGATGATCGTACATAGCACACCTTGACCAATTCCTGCTGTGTTGGCTGACAAACAAGCGTGTATCATACACAAATCACTAATTTACTCTGTTACTCATAAGGTACTTCGCGTCTTGTCACATTAAACAATCGTAGAACATTTCAAAACCTGGTATGGTCTGCACTTGTACATAGTCCGCAGTGGGTAAAATTTCAACTTTTAAACGTATGTAGTCTGTGGACTATAGTCTGGAAAATATATTATGCGTATTCTTTCCTTTGAAACTGCTTGGAATAAATTGTCATGTTTCTTGTAAGGGCCTTAAAGTGCAAAACCATTCCCGATGTGTATTGCTCGACATACCGTTACGCGACCAGATTTCTCCTACTTGGGGCAAAGAATAGACTTTTGTTATGCGCTAGAGCTCTACATTACTAGCGGGAGGGTTTGCGATTACGTTGAACACAGATTGACCTGGAGGCCTTGCACAAGACCGACCAGAAATTCCCAGCGTATGCGGTATGCGAAAAGTCCCTAATGAAACTAAGCATCCCGGCCCCTTTGTGCAGTGCTGTTGCGAGGCAGAACGCAAGAATTCCTATTTAAACGCGGTCACTTTTTTTCGTTAAAACGGCTTGGTGCATGAAAGCGGACAGTCCCTGTCGTCCCCGCTCCTGTGGTTCCTCCGTTTGTCCGCGAGCGGGTGAGCAGCGGTCTGGAGTTGGGAAGAGTTCTCAGGTCTTGGGACCCCAAGAACCTTTGTTAGGGTCCCCTTAATCAAGTGAAGGAACTATTTTAAAGCTATTGAGTGGGTAAAGTTAATGATTCTGTATCTGAATGCTTCGTTTGCACGCAATTACCATATTTGCAGGATTATAATGCGAGGACAAGTTTTTATGCCCTCATAATAAAAGAAAAAATTTATTACTATTATAACGCAAGCCGAGGGCCGTGTAAATTTCCCGCACTCGGGGGCATAGCAGAAGTGCAAAGGCAATGGATATAGAAGAAATATCAGTTTATGTTTTGACTGCACTCATCCCGACTGCCTCATGTCCTTCCGTTTACAATCCACTTGGCGACTACGCAAATAAGCAGCAGCAGGGCACCACGGCTTGTCTGTTAGTTCCTCTTTCTTTGACATGAGCTCCTCAGCAGCCCACAATAGCAAGGCACAAAGCAGAAGCACCAACACCAGGCCACTCTGGAGCAGAAACTGAAAAATGCAGGAAAAATACTGCTGAACCCGATAACAATTTTTGTTCTAATCCCTCCACATAAACAAACACCTAGTGTTGCACGGTTGCGTAAACACGGTGGGTGGTCTTAGCTTGGCTTCTGTTGACTTGGCTTGAATTGGCCAGTGCCCACATTGCTCCGTTTCTGCGGCGTGCACGTGTTGCGCAAACACGAAAGCAAGCGATAAAAATACTTTTTATGTTTCCTACTCTCCTCCTACAGCCCCACTTCTTTTCCCACCCCATCTCCTGCCGGAGGGATGGCTTTCTACATACTCACTTTGCGCCTCCTGGCTGAACTCCGAACAGAACACAAGGTGCGTTTTGGAACACGTAATTCCAAGGAAAAACTCGCCTTATGTTTGTGGAAATTCAATAGTTGTTGCCCCCTTTCGTCCTCCCCAATGGATGGAGTTCCCTTTGGCCGGTCCCTAAGGGGTCCCTGCAACCTGGGTGGGTGAGAAGCACGGAGTCGCCCAGAGTGTCCCCGCTGCTGGCAGCTACACTCATTTGACTCACTCTCACCAACGCGTGCAAAGAATTGTAGCCCACTAAAGGTTGCACTTGAAATGGAATACGGCGGTGGGCACACTGTGTGCACCTGGAGGGAAACAAAAGCCAGCAACTGCGGGCATTTGGAGATTTCTGGAACCCTGTATTCCACTCTAACATCAAGGAGGGAGGGCACACAAAGAGCGTTCCCAGCTGCATTGAGACCAATTAGATAGCCAATTGGAACCAATTTGTGGAAACCAGTAGTGTTCGGGAACTCCCAATTGGAATTACACACTGGTATTTTTCTTACTGGAACCGAAACCTATTGTTGTTTAGGAATCCATTTGGAAAAAAAATGCATTTTTTTTCCATGGAGGCCATACCCAAATATGTTTGGGGGAGACGTGGTAACCCTGGAGCGACGGGAGAAAAAAGGATGGGCAGACGCAACTCATTACTTGCTGGGGGCTCCACTTTGATTCCACTTGGTAGTTCAGAAGGTTGTGCTTGTTCACGGTCAAGCACGACCTCTGCGAGGAATTCAGATTGGATATAAATAATGATTGAGATTCATTAACACGAATCACTCGAGGTTTCTAGGTCTTTTTAAATAGTTTACTCGCCTAGAAGTGTCAGATGTTCCTCTCATCCTTTACAGATATGAGGAACAGCAAAATTTTAAAGGTCTTTATTTTTTTATTGCTTTTAGACAGGGAATTAAACTAGCAAATACTGTAAAATACGTGAATAAAGACTTGATACCTAACCACTACACAAAGTAGAATCCTAGCTGCTGTCGTAGTGGTCCTGACCTTCCACTTAAAATGGGCAAAAATACTGTAAAATAAAGGGCAAGGGCCCACTCAAAATTTGGAGATACAGTAAACTTCCGTTAATTCGACATCGACGGGACCTTGAAATTTGGTCGAATTATCCGAATGATTACATTAAAAAAAAGGACGGAAAAGCGGTTAAAATCAAACTTCCTTTTATTGTCCAAAGTACTCACGAATGGTCTGCTGCCGTCTGCGCTTAAAACGCGCGTCCAAAAGCATGCTTCGGCTTCGGCTTCGACTTTGGCGCCGAACGGTCAGACCGTCGGCGACCAAAAAAGAAAAAGAAGAAAAAAGGAAAAGAGAACTCGCGCTTTCTGGTGCGCAAGATGGAGCGCACACGATGCTACAGAAAAACGCTTTGAGAGCAAGAGTGCGCGCTGGGTCATGTGCACCCGACCATGTGCCATGTTCTCCGCGCCACTCCACGCCAGGTTGGTTGCACTGGCTCGTGTCATTCGCTAAGGTCCATCTCAACGGCGTAGAAGAGCAGACGCATAATTGCGCACGTTCTTGCAGCAAAGGGTCAGTGTTTCGCCGTACGTTGGTGGCTTTTCTGCGGTGGTGCCGTGAAATGTGAGTCCGCGTGCATTCGCTCGGGACGAATTATACAATACAATACTTTATTTCTTCAGAAATACTGGAGGGGTCCCGAGCCATAAAGCTGCTAAAAGCAGCTTGACTGGGTTCCCCTTATACATGGCAGCAGCTCGGACAACAAGCATAGAAAACACTTTACCAGGATGATAAGAAAAATAAAACAAGGTCACGTAACATGGAAGTAGCAGAAGAACAAAATTAGTCATGAATACTTGAAACAGTAGGTACGTAAGTCTTTTTTATCCGATGCGGAGTCTTCCCGAGTTCAAACTATCCAACTTTTCCTCTTATAGAAATGTATGGGCGCTCGCCGGGACTTTTGAGCACGATCGAATCAAACGAAAAGTCGAATCAACTGAGGTCGAACTAACGAAAGTTTGCTGTAATGTGAAAAAATAGGGGATGGTCGCTTGTCCGGTTATCAGCTTTACATATCAGTGTACTGCGCGTATTTCCTCAGATCTTGCAAATTTGGGTGGGGGCGCTAAACGGGGAATGGGTGGATGCGCGGTATTCTACAGGAGGATCCATTTTTCCCACCGAAATTTTTTGAAAAACACTTATAAGTTTTGTTTTTATAAGTTGTTTATATAAGTTTTTTTATAAGTTGTTTATAAGTTGCATTCTCGCTAGAATTTTGCTGTTGCGAAAATGGACGAGAAAGCGCACCTATTACTTTCCATGATGCTGTCCTTGGATTTCAGAATCGTAGAAAATGAGCTGCACTGGGTGCTGAAGTCCTCCGCAATATCGGACTTTTTTTCCGCCTTTCGCAGCTTCGGCTATGATTGCAGACTTCTCCTGAAGCGTCAAAACTCGCGCTTTTTAACGGGAGGCGGCATCTTTCCGACAGGCCACATAAAAGGTAGTAAACAAGGAGTGAGCGATCTCTGAGTGCACGCGGCAGACGGCGAAATGGCAGCGGGCGGCCGGCGGTGTCGTTGTGTGAAACGTCGCATACCTACGTAGTTGCCAGCAGATGGGCTGGCAAAACAGTTTTCAACAACCAAAAAAAAAAAATCTCGTCGCCTTTGTTATAATTGTTCGACTGAATGCAAACAGCAATGGCCGCGCCGATGCTTGTTGAAAATGTATGTGCCTGACTTGTCGGATGAGTGTGCTGCTCCCTTCTTATACTTCTGGGTTTCCAACTGGCTCATGTCCCGAAAAACTGTTGCAGATCACTACCTGAAACTTTTGTTGATGTGGGACTGCTTTTTTAAAAACTCTTCGCTGTTGATAGGGTGCAAATGTATTGAACTCTATGGACGTTGGCCGAGAATTTCGTTCTTGAGGAGTTCAGCTGTAGTAACTACATTGACAACCCGCGAGAAAACTAGCTCCATTTGTGTAGTTGGGACGCAGCTCTACGGCTCGGAGAGACCCGGTTAAACGTTGATTGAGGAAGACCCTGTGAAGCTTTTTGCCCCTAGTGTGGCCATTGGGTTGGCCCACGAGCACGTTTTGGGTATTCCTGCCACTTGGCACGTGCACGACTGCAAACAAGTTGGGCATTTCAGCTGGCTCTGGGGAACGTCATCTCCGCACTGGGCGACGCCTCCGGCAAGATCTCTCACGTCCCGTACCGGGGCTCGAAGCTGACCAGGCTACTCCAAGACTCGCTGGGCGGGAACAGGTCAGCTCTCTCGCAAATATTTGACATTGCATCAAATACAGAATTGAATACTTTTGAATTTCAATACTCGCATGTAATGTCGATTAAATGTCAGTAAGGTAATAAATCGCAGCTGGAATTTGTTTCCCCAGAAATGTACATTTTGTCCCCGTGGAAGCACAAAGACAACGTCTGCTTCAAAAAGACCTGCATCAAATTTTTTCCTTGTTAGGTTAATGGCCGAGGTGACCAGCTTTGACTATGTGGATAGTTTTCACGACAGCCGCAAAGTGGAAAGTTGAGCCAGTTGGTTCTTTAAATAATGAAAAGCGCCGAAAAAGACAAAAAAGTGGAACGACACAAGTCGCACTCGCAACTGTTTTTTTTTTTAAATAAACCACAGTTGCGAGTGCGCCTTGTGTCGTTCCACTTCTTTGTCCTTTTCCGGCGCTTTTAATTATTCAAAGATTCACGACAGCCCTTCATTGCAAAGGGGAAAAGGCAGCCTCGTTCACGCTAGCAGTGTTGCACGATAGGCATGAAAGCTGTTTTATTGCATAGAAAACAACTACAAATGAAACAATGCCCACCTTATTCATTTCGATATATGTTGGCAGACTTTTAGGCAAACTGCCGTTTAAAAACGGAGATGCCCTGCAACTTGAGCCTTTCTCCGAGCACGCCAGTGCAAAGCTGCCTGCTTAAGGGGACATGCACCGGGGGAAAGCAGGGATTTTATTCTTTACGGTAACTGAATGAAATGTTCAGTTTATATTTCTTTTTCTTTTACAAACTGTTTTGATATACCTTACTTTTTATGTTCTGGAAGGAATGCACATTATGATATTAGGTACTCGAGTTTTGTGGTTTCATAAAATCTTGGTGAAATGGAAACATTTTAGTGGATATACTAGCCTTTCTAGAATTTTACATAAATGATATTGATGTAGCCGGTCAATATTGTATATTTACGTTTATTTATATTTACTCTAATTACAAATTGTAATCAGTATCGGACATGAACCCTTAATTATTATCGAAGATTGCAGTCGTCATTTAATTTTTGAGCGGTGTCCCGATACACGTTGGCTCAAGAAAAGTCGATGGCTGCCTCAACATTTTGCCTAGTACAACGTCTGCTACAAAAAGTGGGATGCCGCTTTCATCACCTTTCCAGTTAAAACTCGGCCTAATAAACCAGAGAGGGGGGGGGGGGGCCGCAAATTCCTCGGTAAAATGGGGAACTCTTTGGAATCAGAAATGCGGCATGCAGAGAGCTTCGCTGACACCTGAATCCCGAAGGGCTCACGTAGGAGTTCAGTTGGTGAAGGAACTCCAGGGAAAACGAAGGTTTTTCTCTGACATGGCAATGTCATGGGCAAAGCATGAGACCTAGCAGAGAGGCAAAAAAAAGACCTCAAAGGGTATTTCCCAAGAGGGTAGGGAGAAGTGTCTCTTGTGGAGCATGCATGCTCCACAAGAGCTGGACCGTCTATGTTGCCTAGGCCCCACAGGAGGGTGAACAAATGAAGCGCCTCGAAGCGCCATCTGGTAAAATGGACTAGGAAAAGCTAGTTTGTTTTTCCCTCCTGCAGTCTTGTTGCTCACGTGCCAGCAACAAAGAGGCAGTTTAAACAAACATTTTTTTTCCGGGATTGCTTAATTAAATCGGGTTGGCGGTCACGTTTATGCGGTTATTTCGAGGTAATGAAAGCGTAGAGCCCCAATGGGAATCTTTGGAGGGATTAGAACATGTTTGTTAAATCAGGAATTTCGTAAATTAGTTCTTTTTTTAATAGTTGAAAAACAGATACTCCGAACAGCAAAAAAGCGCTCTGAATTGATTTCACTGGCAAAGGCCATTTGTGTATTTGGTAGTGTACCTTGGAACGCTTGTGTGGAAGCCATTTGTAAACCCTGCAGCCGCACCCTGATGATAGCGTGCGTGTCGCCGTGTGACCGGGACTTCATGGAGACCCTGAACACGCTGCGGTACGCCAACCGTGCCAAGCACATCAAGAACAAGATCACGGTGAACCAGGACAAGTCGAGCCAGACCATCGCCCTGCTCAGGCGGGAAGTACAAGACCTGCAGCTGGAGCTCATGGAGTACAAGCAGGTAACTTCAAACATCAACCGAGATCTTCGCAGTTGAAGAATGGTTAAATATTTGATTGGTATTCAACTTTTTCGTGGGTACCGTATTCACTCGCATATTGAACACACTTTTTTTTCCCGAACAATTGACACATATCTGGGAGGGGGGAAGGGGGGGAGGGGGGGGCGTTCATTGCACGGGGTATTTTTGCATTTACACACTATGTGCAAATGTCATATCAGGTGCCCATATGACACGGCAAGGTACTGTGGCACGTCTTCAGTGATGGTGGCGCACCCACGGCTGGTCGTGGGCGCACCACAGTAACCATGATTTATAAATTGCAAACCCTTTTAGGGCGTTTTCGGGGTTCTTTTTCCAAAGGAAAAGCGCCCTACGAAGATCACTCAGCACGAAAAGCAAGGCGACCGTTCTTAGGCGATATATATTGCTAGTATCCGGCGGGCACACTCAGGTATAATCCGCGATCACGCATATAAGAACTTGTACGAAGTCCAACCGTCGACCGCCAAAGCCCGCCCGCACGGATCAAGTTCCATTCATGGACTGGCTACCAGACACTCTCAGCCTACAGCGGAGCCTGTACCTTACTGTGCCATTTTGTTACGGATTAAATAAATGCATTTAAATCAACAACTAAATACTATCAGTTTACTATCAGTTTATGCTTGGAAGGTGGAAAGGAAAAAAAAGCTGCCACACGGCTTGACTAGTCCCGAGCCACTTGAATAGCAGTTGAGACGCAGGCACCAAAGTATTTACGCATGATTAGGAAACAAACGAAAACATGAGAGAACACGAGAGAAAAATTGATTAGTGTCATTATAGAATGCAAATTCAGTTTGAACAGACTTGCATTAGGAGACAGAACAACTTTAACCCCCCAAAAGTAACACTTTTCTTCTATTCATTTTGGTTTGAGATGAGTACCTCCACACTTGGCTTCTATTAGGTTTGTTTTTTAGATGAGAATGATTGATTCCCTTAAGCTGCTCACTGACACCTTGTTAAGTTCTCTATTTTCCCTACTGAACTGATTCAGTGTAGTCGGAAGGGTGTACGATGTAGTGTATTGTCCGTAATTAGTCCTAAACAATGGTACTTCCCATGGTTCTACAGTTCGCGTTGGATATGCATATACCTTTGGATATGCATACAACATTTGTATAAATAAAAAATTTTCATTACTCCAAGTTGATTGAAAACAATGTTCACTGGATAATCCAGCGTAACATGAGAAATGCTTCTTAATCCTTTTTTTTTTTGTAATATAAATACCCAGAGTATCTGAAATTAAGCCTAACCGCTGTCGCCCTCCCTCCCTCCCCCCCTCGCCCGCCCCCCCCCCCCCCCCCCCCCCCTCTTCGCGATCTTGTCTTTCCGGGCTTTCCCGGTGGGCGCAGCAGCTTTCGTTTCTCAACCGTGCATGTTTCTCGCTGCACGGATCCCGCGGGCCACTTGTCGCCGAATGGGCAGTGGTAGCGGTGTTCTAGCTAGAACATCGAGTTTTCCGCTGACAGCTCACTTTTACTACACAAGACAGTGTGTAGCTCAGTAGCAGTTAATTCGAGCGCGTTGTTATAATGCATACTTAAAAACGAAAGAATAAAAACATAAAGGACGTACACGTGTGGTCGTCTGTGTACGTCTTTTATGTAATCCTTCTTTCCTTTTTAAGCTCAGTAGGTTTGAATATTATTCAGTGCAACGCTGGAAAAGTCAGTGAGGGAATATCTTAGCGATGCGAGGCGAACTTCACTGACAAGTACCACATTAGGGAGTTCTCGTAGTTGGTTTCCGCTGGCCCGCAACGTTCTCCGCTCCGCAACCCGCTTCGAGATCTGGGACTCAGTAGGCAAGGCTAGCGCCGCAGATGCGCAAGAGTGGCGCCTTCGTTCCGGAGAGCGTGGAGAAAGCGAGGAAACGGTCTCCGAAAACTCCTTCTTCTCTCCCCCAACTCAGCTGTCATGTTAACCTGTACTTTTCTTCTCTTCCTTTTTTTTCTTTGTCTTTTCTTTTTAGGGTAGGGCTGCAGATGGAAAATTGTTGTTTTCTATTTACTTTGTTTGTTTTTCGCGAGCGGTGGCCAGGCCACGACCACCTCGATCCCTCAAAAGGATCGGGAATCCGCGCCAGGGCCTCACCTTTAGTTTGTATCTTCTGTGCTTTGTAGCAGCCCTGTTAAGGCCCGTTCACACACATGCGTCCGTAGCGACCGGAAAGACCGGAACAGCCGAAACGACCGTTGCAAGGGTCTGCAACCGTCAGTTGCCATAGCGACGGAGGGACGCACGCACGTGTCGTTCACTACGCAAGGAGTTGGAGAGAGCCCAATTATCGTTTCCCCTCGGCACGTGTAACATGATCCCTCCCTCTCACACTGCATCAGCCTACAGAGGGTTCTCATCCAAGTGGAGAGGAGCGTCAATGGCCTGTGGTCCGACTGTCGCTCAACAGGACCGCGCACGGACGCTACGAGCCATCGGAGCCATTCCAAAGGAAAGAACGCGTGACCTTCCGGTCGTGCGCAACGAGGAGGGCAGCGAAGTGTTTTGTCCTTTTGTCGCGTCATACTTTCTCAGCGCTGCATTGGCTCCGATGGTTCGTGGAGTCCGCTTGAGTTCATTCTGAGATCGCGGGGAAAGGACGGCCACAGATCAACACGTTCAAGAGAATGCACTCTTGGGGAGAAAGGAAAAGCTGAGTGAGACGCGAGACCGAAGTAAACCAAGGAAACATCTTTAGATATGTTTTACTTTTTGAAGGATTCTTTGTCCCGTGCCGTCAAGAGGGGCCTAGGTTCGCAGCAAATGAATCTTTCTCTCTCCGAGAGAGGGGCTGAAAAGGTTAGAAGTGGCTGATCTCTCCTGCTCCAGTAACCAACGGGAAGACGGCGGCACAGCGGTAGGCTCGTAAATATAAATTGAAAGAGCCACAATGACGTTCATTTTATATAAAATTGGAAGCAGATTACTGGAGCTCTTAAAAAAGCGTTTCTATCAAAATGCTGCGAAGTTTAACTATGTCTCACGGTATTCGAGAATATTTCCCCTGAAATGTGGGTGAACCGAAAACTTCCGTACAAAGAAAAGTCCGTGTACCGAAAAGGCCAAAACCAAGATGTCCGTGCATCAAAAAGTACACACCGAAAGGCTTGAACCAATCCGAACGAGACCTCTCTGGAGAATAGTTCAACGATGCGTAGTGCTGTGTGCCTCGCTTCGAATCGACACGCTGAGTGGTTCACTTGAGCTGTAACCTTCGTTCAGAACAGGTGTCGAGTCGGAACCGAACCGTCATTTTAGCCGAACCGGAACTGAACAGAACCGAAATCTTCGCCGCCATCTTGGATCTGAACCGGTACAAAATATAAGGGTAACCAAACCAAAACGGTTCGCGTTTTTTTTTTTTTCCTTTCATTTTTTGTTAGTATCACGAAATCAATATTCGAGAATAAAAACTGGCAGCTGTAATTCTATATATTGACCAAATCGTCATATACAAAATTGCAATGTGTTTGGAATCGGTTCTCGTGGCGCTTTTGTATTGGCACGAGTCACTGAATGTTCCCAGAGTATACCAGATCCCATTCAGTCCGCTTACCGAAAATAAATCCCACAGAATTCAGATCCGATTGGCTGGTTTAGCCCGTGGAGGAAGCTACCAGTCGATAATTTTGAGGATTGGCCCAAGAACAACAGAAAATGTACCTATGTAAAACTTTTCCGCGTTACCACGGGCACGGCGGGTACGCGCGGGTGGAGGCTCTGGGCATCAAAAGATGCGTTAATTTTCTCCAGGTTCTTTTTTTATATTATTGAGTAGTTACAAATCTGGCTTGGCTAAGAAGACCGCCGGCTCGTTTTCTCGCTCCGGTTGCGCTGTTGCTGAGTTTGGTGAGCCACTCGACTTCGATGTGTTTCGAGGCAAGAGAGAAAGACGAGATAGCGAGGAGCAAGTCACGCACCGCTCGGAACGAAGGAAATAACTCAGGAAAGTGGTTGAAAGAGCTCGCACGAGAACGTGCGAGCTCTTCCAACCGCGTACAGTCAGTGCTACACTGACTGTAGGCGCTTCGCTTCGACCGCACAGGGCCGCGCCATATTTGGGATGGGTTGGAGCGCGACCGGCGCGACTGCTCCTCCGCGACTCGGTTCTCAAACAAAGCTTCGGTACTCTGGGAACATTCACTTACTTTAGGCACAATGTTTAATCATGTGTCACGTGGTCACTTGACGTGCATGGCGTCAAGTAGGGTGCCTGGAACGCGTTTTCGAGTGGCTTGCGCGACCAAAAAAGTAGTCCCTCAATTTCCGTCTGAGGACGTCATAGAATTGTCACGCTGTCGCCGGTCGCGATTTTTTTCATTTGCATTACCTTAAGGGCCTCTTGGGGGAGGCATTACATAAGGACAAGACAACAAAACACTATAAAAAAAAATTAAGAAAGGCTTTGGAAATATCATTATATAAACATCATTCAAACATTTTAGAAATCAGCTGCGAAAAACATTTATGGTCACTGTTGCGAAGCTTGTGGGCAAGCTATTCCAATCTGATATGCACAATGGAAGAGGTTAGTATTTGATTGTGTTTATTTTCGAAAAAATGGGTTCAACTTTACAGGTGTGGTCAAGACGAGAGGAACTATGAAGGGCAGGGGAAATGAAGGTTTGGGGAGACCAGGGGTTATAGTACAATCTCTGCTTGAAAGAAAGCCGATCTATATTTCTAGGAGTGTCAAGTGTTTGTAGGGATACGGGTCGATACAGGCGTTCTCGGCGTCTTTTGTAGAGGTATTTGCTTTATTATTGGTAATCTGTGTAGGAAAGGCCCCAACAGCAAGGAGCTTGAGAATGCTGAAAATAACCCGAGACTGTGGTAAAAGATGGGAAACTTCGTGGAACTTTGAGACATCCTTCTTCCTGTGTCCTTTTTTCTTCCATGACGTTTCTCATCTTTTACCACAGTTTCGGGTAATTGTAATGTGTTTTACGTATTAGTTTATATTACAAACCTTGTGACGCGTGATGGATA